CCGGAGCCTGAGTCAGGCATAGGAGCTTTGGCCTCCAGAGCGCGAAGCTCTGGCCAAGCCGTGGTGTTTGATCAATAAAACTTGCCTGGTTCCTGCGCCTCACGTGTGACCCTTTTCCTCTGCTGTGTGTACTTTGCCATCTAGCTTTGGGGCGCAAACAGTCGTGCCCACATCCTGGAAAATGTCAGGAGCTTTCTCGCTGCCCAGTAGAATCTAATCTCCCCCCCGCGCCTCCATCTGTATGTCCAAGAGGGACGGGAGGGGAGACAGACAGAGGCAGAAACACTACCTGGGCCTGGGTTCCCTTCTCCCTTCTCTGCCAGTGTTGCCCCTCCTGTTTCGGAGGTGGGGGTCATCAGGCCAGGCCCTGGGTTCCCCAGGAAGGGAGGGGTCTGCCCTGGAGAGGGATAAGTCAGACCCTGGGTTCCTGCTGTCATTCACTAAGGTATAGAGGAAGCAGGAGCTCAGACCTCACCCACTGAGATGGAGCGCCCCCCCCCCCCCCACAACCTCACCCCTGCTCAGCTTCCCTCACTATGCCCCCTGGCCAGGTTGGGGAGATTATCTTCCCCCAAAGAGGTGGGATCTCAAGACCTGGCAGCCCACCCAACCTGATCTCCCAGCATTTGTTCCAAACCTAGATTTCCTAGGAACCCCTCCCTCCTCTCAACAGAAGGCTTCTGGAGAGGAAGTGGGGACCCCTGCCCCCTTAACAGCCATGCTCCCCCCTAGGGAGAAGGAGCCCCACCACCGAGTCCCCTTGCCTCCTCAAGGACCCTCTACCTCGTATCGCCCTGTTATTGGCTCCAGGCCCCCTATGTAGGGGTTCCCTTCCAGCTCCTCCTTCACAAGTATCTGGTCCCCTCCACCCTCCCACTTTCTCTTCAACTCTTCAGTGTGGGTTCAACTCCCACACCTGTCCTGGACCTCACAGCAGCTGGGCACTGTGCTCTTATGCTGTTTGCCCGTGGAGTCCTTCTGCAAGGTCTCCCACTGGGACTCCCAGCGAAGGCTGGAGGAGAGGTGGTCCCGCGTCTGTCTGGCTTCGGGATGCCCATGTGGAACCAGCCCCCACACTGCCCCTTTGGCCTCTGGAAGCCTCATCTCTCCTCACTGGCAGTTCCTTCTCATCTCCTGGATGCATCCTCTGCACGCAACCCCCTAATGTGGGTGCTCATTTTAACTCCACTCTCTCAAGTCTTACCCTGAACTTATTTACCCTGACCCCACTCAGTTCTTTAGTCTCAGGATCTGCACTGGCAGAAGGGGTGGATCCAGACTTCTCAGGTCCTCATGCTTCCTCTCTGAGCCCACTCCTGCCCCTGCTCCTCCTTGAACTTGGTCTTTCAAACCATGGGTTTACTGACCTCGTCACACCCAGTACACATTACAAGGGTTCCCCACCACTGGTGGGATGAAATCCATCTCTGGGTCTGGGCCACAGGGCTGGACCTGTCCCCCACTCTCATCGCTCCCTCCCCTCCCCACACAGCCTGCAGACATGGGGCAGGTTCCAGACACAGCCCCATGGTCCACCCTGAAAGACTCCTGGGCTCCAGGCTGGGTTAAATGCCCCTCCTTGGGGCTTCCCTAGCCCTGGGCCTCACCTTTCCTTGCCACGTACACAAATCCCCGTTTCCATGGGTCTCAGAGATGTTTTCTCAGTGCTCAACAGTGCTTGGCATCTAGTTAGTGGTCAGCAAATATTTGGTCACAAGTGCTGGAGCACTTGGTGAAAGGCCAGATTTCATGTGGCCTGAGGTATCCCAGGCCAGAGAGGTTGGTGCTAGGTACGGTGAGGGAGAGTAGCCCATGAGGGGCTCTGCAGAGTCTTGGCTTCTCTGCCTACCACTCATATGCCACCCCTAAGTCCCTGTATTGCAAGCAGCCCAGGCGCGCCGACCTCGCTCCAATCCCCACTTCGCAGAGCTGGACCCAGTCGCAGTCAGAGGGGTGGAGCCTGGGGCAGCCCTTCGGGCCATGCGATCCCTCGTAGAAACAGCAGGTGGCGCTGCGCGGCTGCGTTTCTGGGCTGCGGCCCGGCTCCGCGCCTCCAGCGGTGGGTGGGTCGCTGGCCGGACCCGAGCGGGGTGGGCGGGGCCCGGCCGGCCCGGCGTCCTCGGTGGGCTTCCTGCGCCCCCTCCCTCTTTGGTACTCGTGGTTCTCCCCTCCTGTCTCCCCGTCGTCTCTGGGTCTCGTTCAGATTTTTCCCCGTCACCCTGGTTCCGCTGCTCAGTTTTGGGCTCGGAAGAGAGGCCTGGTGTCGTCTACGGGAGGAGCCCTAAGCCTGAGGTCCTAGCTCTCCCGCGGGGCCATTAGTGCCATTAGGGAGGGAGGCGGCTCCGGCCGGGGAAGCTCGGGGCCTTTACACAGGCGTAAGGCCTCCCACCCCACCCCCGGGGGACACGAACCCATCCATCCTCGGGCTGTGACCAGGCCTCTGCCCACAGCCACGCCCCAAGTCACCGCCCAGGCCCCGGCCCCGCCTATCGCTGGGGTGTTGCAGCAGGGAGCTGGACTCAGAGCTCAGGGGACGGCCCCCTCCTTTCCCAGGCTGGACCGAACGACTGTCCAGGGGAGGGGAGCCCCGGCAGGTCTCCTCGCCCTCTATTGCAAGGTCCGAGTAGCCAGGTGGCAGGAGTGGGGAGGCCTGGGGGAGGGGGGCCGCCCAGACCACCTCCGACCTGACTTCCTCCCGCCTGTTGCCCGCCTCACCGTCCACCTCCCCTCTTCCTTTCCCAGAGACCCCAACCAGCTCGCAGCTCCTGGGCACCTTTCAGCCACACTCCTGGGCCTCTGCCTTTGCCTGTGCTGCGTCTCTCGCCTTCATCGCAGCGCCTGAGGCTCAGGCTGGAGGAGGCTTGGGGCAGAGTTTGCCCAGGAGAGCTGCTGGGCGCCCTTCCCCCACCCCCACCCCCGGGCTGGTACTTGAGGCCCTCCACACTGGCCCTGCTCCCTCTCGCTCATTCCTGTGCCCCCTTTGGCATTTTTACCTGCCGTTCTTCCCTGCGCCCTTATTTTTTTGTTGTTACCCACTTCCTTTGTTACCCACCCCCTCCTTACTCTTGTTACCTTCCCTTGTGTTTCCCGGCTTTGGGGCCTCCTTTGTTGCTCTTGGATCCAGTGTTTGTGCCTGGCCCCTGGCTGTGACCACATGCCCTGTGACCCCTCCCTCCAGCTGTGTTGTTCCCATCCGTCTTCATGCACAGGCTGAGTCCTTCGCTGTGGAAGGTGAAAAAGGCCCAAGGCTGATCGGGAGCTGCTGTCCCAGGGAGTGAAGGGGTCTCCAAGCCTTCTGACCCAGGGGACCTTGTCTGGTGGTCTCCCACTGAGCCACCTCCTTCAACTCTGGTGTGGCCCCCAAGCTACAGACTGGCAGGTCTTGGGTGGTCCCTTGGGGTGGAATAGGGTAGACCTCCCTGCCCACACCGATCCCTACAGCCTCCTGACGCAGCAGCGCTAGGCTGAGTACAGGGAAGCCAGTCACAGGCCAGACAGGCAGCCTGGGAACAGGCAAACAGAGAAATGGAGGTGGCCAGCCAGAGGGGAGCCTATGGCAGCCTCAGCCAGGAACTCAGAGGTGGGGGTGGGGAAGTAGCTATGCAGCTTTGGCCTAAGTGGCTTTTAGGGGCAGCAGCTGGGGTGTGGACACCCAAGGGGCTTTGGCCCAGGAGGCTGCCCAGAGGCGGGCCCTGTGCTTGGGTGGGAGCTGGGCGCCCAGGCTGAGGGCACTGGAGAAGGAGCAGCAAGGACTGCGCCTGTGTGGAGCCTGCTCCTGCCCTCGATGGGGAACTGTCTGGGCTGGCTGTGCCTGACTCCTGGGGACCAGGTATGTGGGAGGGAGGGGTACACCGAGGGGGAGCCTGCATCCAGTTGTCTTCCAGGGTCTGAAGCTGTGAGGAGTGTGGCCTTGGAACCTCACCGCCCTCGGCTCAAGAGGAGCTGGGGAACCTGGCCTGAGACTCTTCCTTCTCCAAACCTCAGTCCCGATCTGATCTGTAAAATGGCCTGAGCCCTCTAGGGTTGTTCCGGGTAAAATGCACTCGGAGGCAATGATTCTCCACTGTGATTATTATTGTCTGGGTGGCAGAAGGGGGCACTCTTTCTGGGAGGAGGGAGAGGCTGGGGAGAGTGAGGATGGGGGCAGGGGAGGACTGGGGCAGAGGAGGGGAGATCCACCGGTTGGTTCCTACGTATGAAAACAGCTCCTGTGAGTGCTGACCACAGGCCAGGGCTCAGATACCAAAGTCCTGGGCACATTACATCCCAGGTCAGGATGGGGAGGGGGAGAGCAAAGACCAAGACCTTCTCATCTCAGCCAGACAAGTGTACTTCCTTACCTCACCCTTCCACTTTTTCAGTCACGGGCAATGGGCAGGAGTGAGGGGTCCTGGCACAGGGAGAGGATGATGGGAAAGCTTAATGGACCCACACGGCGCAGATCAGGCAAACACTCCTGGGGAGGGCCGGGGAGTCACTCAGTTACTGGCCTCCAGTAGACAGGGAGGGGCTGCAGTCACTTCAAACCTCTCCTTTTGCCTCTTGGACCATCCTGGGACTGCGCTGGGCCGGGGCAGCTGTGGGCACAGGAGGGGTCCAGACTCATGGACGGCGGTGCGCGTGGTGCTTCCCAAGGAGGTGGGCAGAGCCGTAGCCCTTGTTGCTACCCTCTGTCTCCTGTGTGGGACTCCTTGGACCCTAGGACCCTTTCTCCATCCCTCTCCCGCCTCCCTGTCTTGGTGCAGTGCCCTGCATGCAGTAGGTGCTCAATAAATGTGCCTGGAATAGGAGGCAAAGGTGCTGACGCCAAGGAGGCTGTCCAGAGTGGGGGCGACACAGAGGGGTTCCCGGGGACTCTGAACCCCCAGCTCCTGCAGCCGTCCTCTGGGCTCCCCAGGGCTGGCGGGGTGCCGAGATAGGGGCGAGGCCAGGATGGCTTGGACCCAGGGCGGGGGCGGAGGAGGCGGGGAAGGGGCGGTGCGGGGGCGGTGTCGCAGCCTGAGCTCCAGCCCCGGCCCGAGGCGACGGGAGCCGAACGGGAGGCGCGGAAGCCAACACCAGGTCCCCAGCGCCGCCGTCGCCTCCGAGCCGCTCGCGCCCCTGGCTAGCTGGCGGCGGCTGCGAGCGCCGAGGCCAGCCCCTGGCCCGCGGGTGGGTCGCCAGCGCCATGGCCACCCCAGAACCGCTGCGGCCGCGCCTGTGCTGCCTGGTGCGTGGCGAGCACGGCTACGGCTTCCACCTGCATGGCGAGAAGGGCCGTCGCGGGCAGTTCATCCGGCGCGTGGAGCCCGGGTCCCCGGCCGAGGCGGCCGAGCTGCGCGCTGGAGACCGCCTGGTCGAGGTCAACGGCGTCAACGTGGAGGGCGAAACGCACCACCAGGTGGGTGCCTGCGCCCCGTCCCGGCTCGCCGGGCCCCCTCCCCGGGAGCGCGACCGGGGAGGCACCCCCGACCACCCGGCCCGGCGCTGCCGGCGCCCAGGCCTCAGCTCCCTGCTCCCGGCCAGGAGGGGGTCGCACCAGGGCCTGCGTGCCCCCACCCCCGCTGGAGGAAGTGGGGGACGGAGCCACGGAGGCAGCGGCCGCCGGCCTCCTTCCTAGTACCCCACCCCCTAAGCTCAGCAGCCCTGCACCTCCGAGGGGGAATCCTGGCAGGGAGGGGCCCGCACTGCGGTCTAGATCTTCAGGCTTGTTCTGGCCTGAGCGTACCAAGTATGGAGGTGAGAGGCAACTTGTGTACAAGCTTGTGGACTCACCTGGGTCTGAGTGTGAGTGTGCAGGTTTCTCAGAGGATCACCCATGTGGGCAGACAACTATCTATGCGGACCTAGGAGGTGTCATAGTAAGGGCACACCTGTGTGTGTGCCTGCATCCGTGAGTGTGTACGGGCTGTGTGCATGTGAACATGCAGGTCTGCACCGAGGTGGGTATGTGCGTGGACAGATCTGTTTGCTTGGACACGTGTATGCGAGCTGCGATTGTGTTGACATGTGTGTGAGCTGGGCTGTGTGTGAAAATACACGGGTCTGCACGCCTGGATGTGTGTGAGCTGCGCGCTGTGTGTATGTGTGTGTGTGTGTGTGTCCGGGCCTGCGTGCTGACCGGCTTGGCTGTGTGTAGTCGTCAGTGTGTGTTGGCAGCCAGTGTTCTCGGGGGTGTCCTGGCTGATGGTGTCTGGATTTCCGTGGGAATCACTGCTGGTGACAGCACATTCCTCTCCTGGGAGGCTGCCTGGCCCTGCAGGTGCCACTGGGCCGCAGCCCCTGCCTCCTGCAGCTGGAGATGAAGGCCAGAGGGAGGGCAGGGTCTCCTCTCTGCAGGTTCTGACTCCTGAGGGTGTCCATCTCCCACTGCCAGTGACTCACCTGGCGGGTGTACAGCCGCTCCTGCTCAGGCTCCTCTCCGTCCCCCCTGCACCTCTGCATCCATGATCCGTTTGGGTGCCCAGCCCTGGGGTCTAGAGATTAATGTATCGGTCCTTGGCTGAGACGGGAGCTGAGCTCCTGAGCCCTTGTCTATCCATCTGTCTGCTGTTCTGTCTTCCACCCAGAATGTCAACCTGATAAGGCTGTTTACTGAAGGAAGGTGGGGGTCAGGGCTAGAGGGCTTGGCTTGACAGACCACAGGGAGAGGCTGGCAAAGGTGGTACCTCACCACTGTTTAACAGTCACTGCCGCCCTTGCCCCTGCTTGTCCCAGGCTTCTGGGTGCTGGTCTAAGAACTTCACAAGCCCTGACTGGGTAGCAGGAATAAAAAAAATCTCTCTCTCTCTCTCTCTCTCAAAATAAAAATTTAGTATTCATCCCTGGCTGGTGTGGCTCAGTTGGTTGAGCGTCATCCCCTGCACTGAAGGTCGCCGGTTCTATTCCTGGTCAGGGCATGTGCCCAGGTTGTGGGCTTGATCCCTGATGGGGGTGTGTGTGGGAGGCAACCGATTGATGTTTCTCTTCCTCTTCCCTCTCTCTCTAAAAATGAATTAAAAAATAATTTAGAACTTCACACACAGGACCCCATGGGATCTTCCTACTGCCCCAGGAGGGAGGACATGCAGTTATAGCTCCCGTCTGACAGATGAGGAAACGGATGCTTAGAGATGTTGAGTGGCTCCTTTGGGTACCACAGTTGGGAAGCAGCAGGGTGCTGCATGGGGAGAGAGGAGGGACAGGGAAACATGGGTCTGATTCAGACCCTCCTCTCTGTTGACAACTTCTGCCAAGCAGCTGCCCCCCCCGCCCCAGGCCTTGGGGTGGGGATGGGGATGTTGCCCTCCTTACTCCAATGCCCAGTGCTCCTTCTCCCTGCAAGACATACACTGGCATGCGTTCCCCATGGACACCCACATGCTCTAGACCAGGGGTCCTCAAACTACGGCCCGCGGGCCACATGCAAATGCAAATATTGTATTTGTTCCCGTTTTGTTTTTTTACTTGAAAATAAGATATGTGCAGTGTGCATAGGAATTTGTTCATAGTTTTTTCTTAAACTACAGTCCGGCCCTCCAACGGTCCGAGGGACAGTGAACTGGCCCCCTGTTTAAAAAGTTTGAGGACCCCTGCTCTAGACATACAGGCACCTGCATAGACACACAGATGGGCCACATATCACACTGGCCCCACAGTTGGACCTGCCCCTCCACACCTCTGCCTGCTGGGTCTGAATCCTGCTCACAGCATCACGGGTGGTACCTGAGCAGGCGCCTTCCCACAGGAACCCTGCAGGTCCAGCAGGAATGGATCTATGCTCATGGTCTGGAGCAAAGAGAGGGCCTAGAGGCAGGGATTTAGCCTTCCATGCTCCACCACCGAGAAAGACAGAAACGGGCACAGACACACCCCGACTGACACCCGGGAGGTGCCGCCCTTTCAAACCCAGACTGAGGACAGACCTGACACAGACAGACGCACGCCTGCACGGATGCCTCACCCAGCTTCCCAGAGAGGACCCTGGGCTGAGGCAAGGCCTGGGACCACACTGAGGCCCTTGTCGCCTGGGCCCTTCTGTCAGGAGCCCCAGGAGAGGAGGGAGGGAGCGGCTGAAGCCGGGGGTGGGGGGTGGAGCCGGCAGGCCTCTTGCCCAGCCACCCACCCCTAGTAGGTCAGCCTGGCCAGCCTTGGGTGGTGCCACAGTCCATGTGCTGCCCAGAGAGCTGGCTGCTGACCCACGACCACCTGCCTGTCCCAGGTGGTCCAGAGGATCAAGGCTGTGGAAGGGCAGACCCGGCTGCTGGTGGTAGACAAGGAGACGGACGAGGAGCTGCGCCGGCGGCAGCTGACCTGCACTGAGGAGATGGCCCAGCGAGGGCTTCCACCCGCCCATGACCCCTGGGAGCCAAAGCCGGTCTGGACACGTGCAGGCAGCCTTGGCTCCAAGGATGGCCAGAAGGTATGGCATGATTCTGCCCACAGGGACCACCTTGCTTCTCCCCGAACCATCTGGGCCTCTCACTGGCAGACTGTTTCTGATTCCCTCCAGAAGGCACTGTCTCAGGCTCTGCTGCGTCTTAGGGCCCTTCTTTGCCCCTGGTGACTACCCTCTTGGCTATATAGCCTGAGACTTTTAAGCTGGGTAGGAGGAGGGCAGCCTTCGCCCCCCAGCCCTCTTCCAGGATGCTCAGAGCCGCCTGATCTAGGTAGGGGCCACTCTGATAAGGCCCCCTTCCCATTCGAGGGGCTAAGGAACCCAACCTAGGGAGGGGCTCTGCTTGGATGTCCTGGGACTGAATGAACCCAGCTCTGCCTGTGTCTGGTGTTTATCTGTCTGGCTCTGTCCCTGTGTCTGTCTCTAGGCACCTGATTGTTCTATGAAGGCCTTGGGGGTAGGGGCTGGCCCTCCTCTGTGGACAGTGTATGGTTGGGGGCCCCAGAGGAGACTCCTCACTAAACTGAGTCCTCATCTGATGGTTTATAGGGCTGGGGCACCTCCCTCTTCTCCCTGCCCTTCTCCCCACCCTCAGGCTGGAAGAGCTGGAAAAGAATCACCTCCTTCTAGGTTTCTGGGCCTGGGGTGTGTGTGGGGGGAGAGGGGGTGACCCTACCTGGGAAGCATCCGGACACTGGGAGGCAGAGCCTGGGGCTGCTAGTCCCTCCCTCCTGGAAGCCCCACGTTAGTGTCTCTCATGTCCTCTCTCCCTTTTTTATTTTTAAAGAAAAATCAATCCCTTTAGGAGATTCAAGCCCAGGGGTTCCCCAGATCCCGCTTTGAAAACCACTGGCCGAAGCCCAGTGGAGGTGTGCGAGCTGAAGTTTCTGTGTGTGCAGGGGATCCCAGCGTCTGCCTCCCCCTGTGCCTGTGACCTGGACTGGAGCATAGGCCTGTGCTTTTTGTTCTGAAGGGGTATGTGTGCTCCAGGGCAGAGAACCCCTGGGTAGGGTGCAGGGGGGGTTGTCTCAGGTAGATGGTGCCTGGCCCTGTCATTTGCATTTTGTCCTGGGGCCAGAGAACGCTGGAATAGGGGGGGTGTTAGGGTCAGATTTGTGATTTCAGGGGGGTCCTGGGATGGTATGCTGGCTGGGCCCCTCCCAGGCCTGAGGGTTGGAGCCTTCCTCCTTCTTGGGCATCTCACACGCCACCCCCAGGAAGTGCCCCTCCTTCCAGACGTTTGTCCATTGACTTGGACACAAATGGCTGAGTTCACCTTCCTGTGGAAAAAATTCTGCCTCAGGCCTTATCTTCAGGATGGGGTGGCCCACCTAGTCCTTGGGTGGAGCCTTCCCCCTCTGCTATTTCAGGCTCTGGGGCTGCAGGAAGCCCTGGGAGGGGGCTTCCTCTGGGTATATTTTTAGAGGAACGGAGTGGGGCTTGACTGGCAGGTTCCTCTGTGGTTCAGGCTGGCCAGAGGATAGCGACCCCCAATTTTGTTGGCTGAACTCAGGTCATCAGAAGGAGGCACTGGGCCTTGGGTGTGTGTGGGTGGGTGGGTGGGGGGTGTGTGTGCGATGCTTGCATGCTGGGCTCTGCTCTGAGGTGGTAAGGTGCCTGTGTGGTTTGCTTTGGTGCAGGATGAAGGGCCCACCCCTCGTGCCCCTGTGAGCTAAGGGCTGAGCTGGAGTCAGGGTCCTGTAGGCCACTTACACCCTGTCAGCCTGTTACCCCCTGTCCTGGGGCTGGGAGGAGAGGGATGGAGCAGGGGAGGACACTAATGTGGCTGGCCCTGGGGGGCTATCGGGGCTGTGAGGGCCTTGTCAATGGTGACTCAGTCCCAGGCCAGACAGGGCTAGGGGTGGCTGCATCTGCAGTGCAGCCAATCCTGATAGTGATGATAGGGGACAGCCCCCAAAAGAGCCAGGGCAACCAGCAACCAGTGGTGCCAGGTGTGGGCACTGATAGACCCGGGGCCCTCCTCGTCCTCACAGGAAGTCTGGGCCCCCCCCCCTCTGGTTTTGGAGGCCCTTGGGGGCTGAGAGTGAGTGAGATAACGGAGTCCTGCACGTGGTGGCTGCTGGGCATAGGACCTTGTCCTGCCAGAGGGTGCTGGGGCTCCTTGCTCCTGCCTCTGCCCCGTGAGCTGCAGCAGGACTGTCTTTTGTTCTGGGTTGGGGTTCCTCCCTTACCTCCCTGTCTCCCCAGCCATGAGTCCTGGGAGCAGGGCAGGGCCTTCCAGCAACTTCCTTCCCTTCTTGGGACGGAAACCTAGTCAGTGGGGGGGTGGGGGTGGGGGGGAAGGCCTGGGCTGGAGCCTGAATAAGGGAGGGGGGCTCAGCCACCACCCTGTTCCCCAGAGTGACTCAGCCCCATGTCCCCACCTGTCCCTAGGGAACCTGGGCCTCAGTGGGAGGTAGATAAATGGGGTGGCAGCCTGGGCCAGCCAGAGAGTTCAGGCCACGCCGGCTGGATGCTCACTGTCGGCCACTTCTGTCCCGCCTCCATGGCCCGCTCCTGGAATTCCACACCACCCACCCTGGTCTCAGGAGCCCCTCCACCAAGCCCATCCCAGGGGCTTGTGCAGGTTAGGTGTGGTGGGGGCAGGGTGGGCAGTGAGGACCCCCCCAGCCAGTTTAGCCCGTGTCCCCCAGGGTTAAGAGAGAGGACTCTGGGGTGAGCAAGCCGGACCCTGCGCAACAATGGGGCTTTTCTCCTCTGCCAGGGCTGGTGAGTCACTATCTGGGGGGGGGGGGGGGGCACAGCCTGGCTCCTGGGGTACCCCCATGCCAGCCTCTTTGTCTGGTTACAGGCACAGCTGGGAGGCCAGGGCTTGTCCAGTTCTGGGGCGGCCCTGCTGGGAGCCGTGGGAGCCTGAGGGCCTGGCTGGGAGAGGGCAGGAAGTGCTCTGAGCCAGGGCTGGGAGTGAGGAATGTGAGCAATGCGCCGCCCGCCTGCGCCCCCTCCAGACCCACTGCTGCCTGCTCTCCCGCAGGGCCTCCCTGCTGGGTCATTGCATTGCAGCCCCTCAGCTTGTGGGTCCAGTGCCAGGTCTGGTGCTCCGTGGGCCCTGGTCTCTCATAAGGAGAGAGGTTAAGGCTAGACATTAGGAGAACATTCCTGGCTTGTGTGATGAGAGGCAGCTGTGCTGGATTGAGATCGGGATGGCCAGTATGGTTTCGAACCCAGATGTGACTTCAGCCTGGCCTTATACCCCGGGATGCCCCCAAATCGGTGCCCCTCAAATTCTTTTCCCTTTTGCGGGCCTTGACAGATCCTGCCCTGAATGTTAATGTGGAGGGTGTAGGAGAGGCCACAGGACCCCATCGCACTGGGCCATCCCTTCATAGGTGTGGGTTGCCTTATGTGTCTGTGTAGCATGTTTGCGAACATATGTTTGGATATCTGGTCTCTTTGACCATGGGATGTGCCTCTGCTACCTGGGCCCATGTCCACATTCCAGGCATGGTCTGTCCCATTCCAGGTTCCATGCTTGGCCCTGGCCCTGGCCCTGGCTGTGGCTCTGCTCTGTCCCAGCCAGCCTTGGGGGCCTGTATCTCCGGCGCCTCTGGGGAGGTGTGGGCCCCCCTCAAAGCTGCACACTTGTACCTCCAGGTGTGTCTGTGAGAGTCTCACCCTCCAGTTCAGACCATGTGGCCCAGCTGAGGCCCCAGGAAACTGCAGAGCAGCAGCTCTGTCCCTGGAGTTCTTGGAGTTATAGGGCCAGATGGGGGCCTGCAGTGGGGCTCCCCAGGGGGTTCTGGGCAGTCTTTGGGGGTCAGGGAAGGGGTCTTGGAGGAAAGGCACAGGCTGGACAGGAAGAGGGTGCTCCTGACAGGCAGGACATGCCTGGCCCCGCAGCAAGGCACCCACCCTGTGAGGAAAGACTTTTGGTCCCACAGCTGGGTGGCCACCAACTGGCAGGCCAGAGCACTCACAGTCAGATTTGGGGTTTGGAATCAGGTTGCAGGCCTGCAGGCTGGAATGGCCCAGGGGGTGGCCAGGGCTGTAGGGGGGCAGGTACCCAAGGCCTGGAGACCTTCCCTGAGGGTGACCACCAGCCTGACCCAGGGTCCCTCCAGCACCCTTATGGGAGGGGCCTGGTGAGCACTCCCACCCTGAACACTCTCACCTGCACACGCACTGGAGCCCCGAGCGTCCCGGGAAACCTGAGCTGCTGCCTGCCTGCTCACTCCGGCCACCGCCATGTTTAATTGAGCACCGATAGCCGCTGGCCACTCAGCACTGTGGTCACTGACGGCCCCAGGCCCCGGCTGGCTGGGGGTACTGGGGCCTGGCCCCTGCCGGCAAGGCTCCCTGGCCCACAGCCCTACTGCAGGATGCCAGAGGTAAAGCGAGGCAGGGCCCTGGGATGTGGATGGGGGACGCTCAGGGCACTATAGCCCCTGTGTCTCAGCAGGGAGGGCAGCAGGGCAGGCCCCACCCTCGGCCCTGTCACTGGGCTCCTGCGGGCGGCGGGTGGCGGCAGCCCCAGCAGCAGCCCAGCGGGTCATCCTCCAGTCTCTGGGCCGGTGCGGGTAGGGGTGGAGGTGAGGGTGGCTCCAGCTTGCTCTGGAATGTGAAAGCAAACACAGTAGCGCTGCCACCAGCCCTGTGGGAGAGAAAACAAAACTGTCCAGGCCCAGGACTCTGCGAGCCCTACACTCACAGAGGGAGGTGGGGAGGGGGGGCTTGCAGGCAGGGCCCGTGAGGACAGCCTGGTGTGTCTGTGTAGCATGTTTGGAACATATGTTTGGATAACTGGGACATGGAGCTGAGTGGCAGCTGGTCTCGCCTGGCCTCTCGTAGGACCCGGGCCTGTGCTCAGTGCTGTCCTTGAGCCCTTTAATTCTCCCAACAACCCTAAGGCCCCTGGCCCTATCAGAAGTCATTTTGGGGTTTAGAACCTAAGACTTTGCCTAAGATGTCACAGCTGGATCTCAGTCAGAGGCAGCCTAATGCCTCCCCGCCGCCTCCCCGCTGGGTGTGGGTGTACAGTGTTTGTCTCTGCCACTGGGCAGGGCCTGATGCCCAGGGCGGGGCTGTGGCTCCCTCCTGCCCCCCACCACTGCTGTGCTGCACACTGGGGGCCAGAGGCTTTGGGTGGTGTCAGTGGCCTCTGGGAGTGGGAGACCGGAGCTGAAGATTGTCTCGCGTGCCTGCAGGATGTCAATGGGCCCCCAAGGGAGCTTCGCCCGAGGCTCTGCCACCTTCGAAAGGGCCCTCAGGGATATGGGTTCAACCTGCACAGTGACAAGTCCCGGCCAGGACAGTACATCCGTTCGGTGGACGTGGGCTCGCCGGCTGCCCACTCCGGCCTCCGCGCCCAAGATCGACTTATTGAGGTACCATCACCAGGGCTTTGGGGTGGCAGGTGCCCGCGTCCCCTGGGTGCGTGTTTGTGCTTGTGTCCACTGTCTGCATGTCTGTGCCCGCATCCCCTGTTTGTGTGTGAGCCCCAGGTCCTCCCTGGGAGGAGGGGAGTTTCTGGGAACTTGAGCTGGCATCCCTCTGGCTGCCGTGGCTGGTGACAACATCGATGAATATTTGATGCCACACCTGGCCAGGCAGCTCGGGGGGCTGGTGGGGGCCTGCCCTCAGCGCTGCCCTGTGCTGCCGGCGGCAGGTGAACGGGCAGAATGTGGAGGGACTGCGCCACGCAGAGGTGGTTGCCAGCATCAAGGCACGCGAGGATGAGGCCCGGCTGTTGGTGGTGGACCCGGAAACGGACGAGTACTTCAAGAGGCTGCGGGTCACGCCCACCGAGGAGCATGTGGAAGGTGGGCTGCTGCCCTGGGGGTCTAGGGTGGGGGTGGAGCGTGGGGGCTGGGCAGCCCTTGACACACTGTCCCCACAGGTCCACTGCCATCACCTGTCACCAATGGGACCAGCCCTGCCCAGGTGAGAGGATGGGTGGAGGTGGACAGGGTGGGTCCAGGAGACTGGAGTGGCACCTCTAGGGGTCCCCAAGCCTGACGGAGCGCCCCCATATTTGTCCTGGTATATTTGAGGTTGTGACACCCAATCTGGCCCGACACTCCCAGCTTTAATGCCCTCTGTGGATCCTGTCCTGGGTCAGCCACACCCCAGCCCTACAAGGCACTCCGGCCCCAGGCTATTGCCCTGGCTGTTCCCTCTGCCCAGCACTGTCTGGTTACCTGGAGTGTCCGTCTCTCCTCAGGAAGCTGGCCCTGGCTTTGCCCCAGGTGACACGCATGTGGGTGATTCATGCATCGAAATGGCTCCTCCCCATTGTGACTTGGCCAGGGCCGGGCCACCTGCCTGTTCACTGTTTCGTGTCCAGTGTCCTACCTACACTGGGCCTGGAGCATGGTAGAGGCTTGGTGCCCACTGCCGAAGGGAGGAATAAATGCAGCTCTGTGTGTGCGGGTGTACGTGTATGCACGTGTGTGAACATAGTGACAGGACAGGGCAGGGCCTCTGAAGCTACTACACCTTGCCCTTGGTTTCCCAGCTCAATGGTGGCTCAGCGTGTTCATCCCGAAGTGATCTGCCTGGCTTAGACAAGGACAATGAGGTAGCAAATGTCCATCCACTTCCTCTGCTGCGCTTACACTCTGGGAGGGGGCCAGAGAGGCCTTTGGGGTGGGTATTTATGGAGCTTTCAACCTGGGCAGTGGGGCCACTGCTTCCAGGAAGCCCTCCTGGGCTCGCTGCCTCAGCCCCACCAGGTGGCCTCTGGTGTGAGCTCCCTGGAAAGGGTTATTTATCAGTTTGGGGGCTTGGCCCCTGGGCTCACTCTGGCTACCTGTCCGCCCCCAGGACCGCAGCACCTGGAAGCACGACCCTTTTCAGGAGAGTGGCCTCCACCTGAGCCCCACGGCGGCTGAGGCCAAGGAGAAGGCAAAGGCCACCCGGGTCAACAAGCGGGCCCCGCAGATGGACTGGAACCAGAAGCGTGAGATCTTCAGCAACTTCTGAACCCCTCGCTGCCTGTGTGCTGGGCCCGGCCTTCTCCCCGCACGGACTTTGGGCCTCCCTCCGCGGGCCCAGACCAGAGCTCCCCAAGCCGCAGTGGACTGGAGGAGGTGCATCCTCACCCCCAGGAGCGTGGTGGCCCCACCGCCACCCAGGAACCAACCCACATCCCAGCGAGTCCCCGTCCTGATCCCCCTACCGTTCCCGTGGGTGCTGGGGGAACGTGGCAGCAACACTGGGGAGAGGGAGCCCCCAATGTGTGAGACATTGAGAGAGGGAGAGGCAGCGGTGACCCTAGGGGCCGGCCTTTGCTGCTCTGCCTGGGCCTGCTGACTTAAAGGAATTTGTGGTTTTGCTTCTTTTTTTTTTTTTTTTCCAAAAAGAGCTCCAGCTCCACACATGTTTTCACTTAATACCAGAGCCCCGCCCCCGCCAGGACATGTTCTCTAAATAATTGCAATAAAACAAACCTTTCTCTACAAACCATTTCCTCCCCACCCCTTCCTTCTTGGCAGCAGCCATGCCGGTGGGAGTCCCAGGAACTGCCTGGGACAGAGGCAGTGGGCAGGCGATTTGAGGGGCTTCAGGTGAGGCTGGGAGGCCAGATGTGGCTACAGAAGCTTCCCCTCAGCCTCCTCGTTGCCTTCCCTGGTGTGGGGGCTCGCTAGGCCAAGCCCCCCATGTTCCCACCACACCAGGGGTCTGGGATGCAGGGTCTGGGCTCTCGGAGGGGCCGGAGGATGGAGGCCCCTGCCCCTGAAGAGGGCAGCCTCTGGACAGGCCCCTTGTTCCTTTGCCACAGCCCCTGGCTTGGGGGGTGTGGTTGTGAGAGAGAGCCTGCCCCAGGAGTGCCTCCAGGCTTCGGGCTTGGCCCCTGCCTGGCGCCCTCCCCCAGTAGACCCCACAGACTCTGCCTTGAAACCCCCCGACATTGCCGTCTGCCCTGTAAGCCATAGCGCATCTGCGCCCTTGGAATAAACAGGCCATCCTCACACCCCTGGCTGCCTCTGTCCTTCCTCGGGGGATGGGGGAACGGTGGTCCAGGCAGGAAGGTAGCAGCCTAGCAGCCCCATCCCCAAATCTCAGCTGCCGAAAACAGGTCTCATTTTTTTTTTTTTAATTTTTATTTGTTTTTAATCCTTACCCGAGGATATTTTTTCCATTGACTTCTAGAGTAGAAGGGAGGGAGGCCGGGGAGAGACACATCCATTGGTTGCCTCCTGCACAGGCCCCTACCGGGCTGGGGAACCTGCAACGGAGGTAGATGGCCTTGACCGGGAATCGAACCCACAACCCGTTGGTCTGCGGGCCGCTGCTTTAACCACTGAGCAACCAGCCAGGGCAACAGGTCTCGTTCTTAAACCCCCACCTCCCTGAATCCATCCACCTGGCAGCCAAGTCCCAACACTTCTCAGCTCCTGCTTCCCTCTCCACCTGCCCTCTCCAGACTACTTGGGATCCCTGCCCTTGGAGCCCTGCCCTCCTCTCACCCCGAGGCCCTTGCTCACCTCCTCTGCCTGGTGAGGTCCAGCTGCCCTGCCAACACCTCCTCTGTGAAGCTTTCTGGGCCCCTGGCACCCCATGGGCACCCTCTGCCTTCATATAGCCCCCCACCCCCCAGCAGGTACAAAGGTCAGGCCTCAGGCCCTGTGGCACCCGGCCTGGGCTTCCTGGTGTCCTTTTGGAGGCCAGGTGGCTCTGTAAGCGCTGGGGGTAGGGCCTCCTGGCAGTGGCAGGCTCTCAGGGTGCACAAGTTCAGGAGAGGGGTGTTTCTGGGCCCTCAGCCAGCTGAGGGAGGGAGGAAGCCCAGACCTCCAGCGTCACCAGCAGGCTTCTCAACAGCTGGCTCCAGCTGGCTCCCACGATCCATCTCTTCAGTCTGGGCCCCTGCACCCACCCCCACGTACACAGCCCAGATTGTCACGTCCACATGCTGGCCTCCCCAGGGTAGAAATCGGACAGATCCCAACTGTTGCAAAACCCCAAACTTTATTATGAACAGGCTGCAGCTCCCCAACAAAGTCGCAGAAGACATGGCCTTCAGAGTCCCATGCAGCTGGGCACAGGACCTTCAGAGTCCCGTGCAGCTGGGCACAGGGCCTTCAGAGTCCCGTGCAGCTGGGCACAGGGCCTTCAGAGTCCCGTGCAGCTGGGCACAGGGCCTGGTTGAGGCAGGTCTGGCATCGAGGGCGGACAGGCAGACAGATCTGCTGGCCGAAGCCCACCAACAGTCCATTAATCTCACTCCACAGGTCCCTGTGGGGTGGGAGTGGGTTAATGCAGAGAGAGCGAGGGAAGGAGGGAAGGTGGAAGGGGAGCCCGTCCTGCCCCGTTGCGGCACCTGGGCAGCCAGTCCTCCAGGGCCGCACGGGTCTCCTCCGGCGACTTGGTCACCTTCTTGGTCCACCTGAGTCGGTTGGCAATTCTGTGCACATGTGTGTCCACTGCTGCTTGGAGACAGGGTGGGGTGAGTGTGGGGCAGGCCCAGACACCCCGTTCTTGCCCATGGTCCCACCCATTAGCCCAGGTTGGTGAGTCGCCCTGGCTTCCCACACAGAGCTCTGAGGGCCCCTAACTGCACAGTACGAGCCAGACATGAGAGTGGCTACCATACTGCTGGGCAGGGGCTGTAGGCAGGAACCAGAGGACTTGGGCCCTCACTTGGGGTGCAGGGAGCAGTGCCTCTTGGCCCAGCCACGGGCTGAGGGTGCCAGCAGGAGGCTGTTGCCTGCAGAGCCAGCACTTGTAAGGAACAGAGTGGGCAGCACAGCCAGGCCAGCTGCAGCCCCTGCTCCCCTTTACAGCCACCCCAGGGCCCATCCCGGGCACCCAGTCACCCAGGCCTCCTTGCCCAGCTATCTGCAATCCCTCTCCTCCTCACTGTCAAAGAGAAAGCCAGTCCCTGCATCCGCTTTCTCTCCTGCTGCTAACAAGCCCAGGCAGAGGGTTGCACCCTTGGATCCCCTGCCTCAGTTTCCTCTTCTGTCACACGGAGGTGACTGTGCTCCCTGAGGCCCAACCTAGGGCCACACCACACTGTGTGAACCCCCTGTGGGCTGGGCCAGGAGGGCAACCGTGTCCCCTGCTTTGTGGCCAAAGCTCAGAGAGGCCAAGTGCCTTGCCCAAGGCCACCCAGGTGGGGAGGCAGAGCTGGGATCAGCTTTCTCACGAGGGAGTTTCTCCTGGGGAAGCCCCTGGGAGGCAAAGCCTACCCTCCCCAGGGTCTCCCTACGGCTGACCGGGCCCAGAGGCAACCAGAAAGGGTGACATTCTGACACCCGGGGTAGGGCGGTCGGCAGGGAGCCCTTCACTCAGACCTGCCTGACCACTCCCGGGAAAGAGCAGCTGAGGACAGCTGCCCAGATAAGCTGAGTATTTGCTGAGAGGCTGGCCTCTACAGGAGCCCTAGGGGAAGGCTCTGCCCTGGCCCCTTCTTGGCCCCGTTCTGGCTCTCGGGGCTGCCTTTCTACTCATGGGCAGTGCTGGAAAAGGGCCCCACCCCAGGGGGCAGGCTACACAAGCTGTGGGAGCTGAGGGGATTCCCACCCCTTCCCAGCCCCGCCTGCAGGAGTCCCAGAAAGGCACTGGGGTTGGGGAGTACAGAGAGGTTACAGGTCAAGCCTTGGTTTCTGGGCTGGCTGGGCTGGTGAGGGGGCCTAAAAGCCCCAACTCTCTGGGCAAAGACCTTAGGAAGCAGCCGCTGCACCCTGACGCAAATCCTGTCTCCACCCAGAGATCCTCCCATGCCAGGCTGCTAGGCCTGGACCCAGGAAAGGGATCCCAGGAAGAGGCTCCCCCCCTCCCAGTTCTCCTCCCCATCCCCCCAGCCCATTCCTCCTCTCCCTGGGTTCCCCTGTCTTCACATCACCCTAATCTGCCCACACTCATCCAGAGCCTCCTGCTTCTGGCCCTCTCTCCCGCCTCATGGCTTTGCAGATGCTGTTCTTCTGCCTGGAACATTGTTCCTCCTCTTGGCCCTGCCTTACCCTTCAGCTCTTGGATGAGGTATCACTTCCACCGACACCGAGTCCATCCCCAGAGCCCAGCACACAGTAGGTGCTCATCTCAGGGCAGGACAGGCCTAGCTCAGTGCTGGGAGTATCTTTCTGACCCTTTGGGCTGAGCTGTGGATGAGGAGACCTGAATTGGGGTTACAGGTCAGAGGATGTGGGGAACCCTGACAGTAGTCAGCAAGCTCAGAGCTGGCCTCACCCTCCTCATGGGCACATGCCACTCACCAATGCCTGACACAGTACCCCAGGCCACAGCCATGGCCAAGTGCGCCATTTTGGGCCCAACGCCTGGCAGTGCCATCAGCTCTGTCACAGAAGCTGGGATGTCCCCACCATAGTTCTGCTGCAGGATGGCACTGGTCTGCTTGATGTACTTCACCTTGCTCTGAAAAATGGGGTGGGGGGGTGTCAAGTGCTGAAGGTGGGAGTGGAGTCCAACCTGGGAGGACAAGGCCCAAGGAAGAAGCACAGGTGCCCAAAGCGACCCAGGACACACTCAGAGGCACCTGTTTGCTCCTGTCCCCCTAGGACAGTGGTCGGCAAATGCATTTGTCAACAGAGCCAAATATCAACAGTACAACGGTTGAAATTTCTTTTGAGAGCCAAATTTTTTAAACTTAAACTATGTAAGTAGGTACATTGTTATTAACTTAATTAGGGTACTCCTAAGGCTTAGGAAGAGCCACACTCAAGGGGCCAAAGAGCCGCCTGTGGCTCACGAGCCACAGTTTGCCGACCACGGCCCTAGGAGGCAGGAATGAACCAAGGGAAACAGGCAGCCTGAGGGAGGCCCAATGCATGCCTGGACCCCTGCCTTCCACCTGTTTGGGCCAATGGCATGTCTTGGGGTCCAGCTTGGGCGCCCCCCTCCCCCATCATTACCCCCAGAGGCCAGGCAGGCTAAGCAGGGCCGGCCATGCCAGGAGCTGGGTTCAGCAGCACCTGGACCTGCAGGAAGGAAGGCTGGAGTCTGGGGTTCCCTGCCAGCGAACAGGCCAGCTGGGCGGTTCCCATCCTGTGCCTGAGCAGACGGGGCTATTTAAAACCCATCTGACACACTGCAACCCACACCAGTGCCCAGGGAAGTAGCCACACCCGCCTGGCCACCTTCAATAGATCTGCCTACTGGCCACCCTGTGCTGTGGCCTCTTGCTGCTCTGGAGGGGAGGGTGTAACACGCTCCAGGGAAGCCCGGAGTAAACAAAGGGAAAGGTGGATGGGCAGCCTCAGTGAGAAAGGGAAGGGCCAGACAGCTGGGTGGGGAGGTGGAGGAAGGAAGGGGTGGGCTGCAAACAGGAAAGGCTAAGGAGTTCCAAGGCCTGGACTTGAGGCCCCACTGCCTGGCCCCCTGTGGACAGCTCAGAGGGGTGGGGGACTCTAGTGAGAACTCATATCCAGGCCCCTGTGGCCAGAAATGTCCAACCCAGCCTCCTGCCACCCCCACAGCCGCCCTCAGCGACCCGCTGTCTTTTCCAGGCCAGTGGCAACCCTGGCCCTCGTTGCCACAGGCTGGGCTCACCCTCCAGAAGCCCACGGGGTAGATGAGTGCGCCCAGTGTGCTGTCATCTGTCTTCAGGATATTATCCACCGTTAGGCCCCGGGCCCGCAGCCGCTGCATGGCACCCGCTGTCACCTGGTCTTTGGTCTGGCTGGAGAGCATCAGTGACAGCAGCACCTGGTACCTCTGCACCTGCTCACAGTGACAGGGACCAGAAAGATGGTCGGTCCTGGGTGCTCACTGTGGGCCAGGCTCTAGCCAAGTCCTTTACCCATGTGGGAACAGACCAGACGTCAGCTTCCTACCCACCTTGGCCAATGGGGGGAGGTGTGTGGTAGGATCTGGTCTGGGCCTGCTTTTCATCTATAACATGGGGACAATAATAGCACCTGCTTCTCAGAATCACTGGGAAGCTTAAATGAATTTTCACTACACTTAGACTTGTACCTGGCACAATGTCAGTGCAGCCACCATTG